GGCCCTTTCTTCTGCAGGGACCAGGTAAGGCTGGCGGTGCCACGTGGCTGCGCAGGCTCTGCTCCTCACAGCTGAGGTCCTCGGGGTCGCGTGTTGTCCTTGCTGTGGACGGGCAGCTGAAGCGGGAGCCCCGTGCTTCGGAGCTCTCCAGTGCCGGCTGTGGGAGCGCCCAGGGGGCTCTCAGCCCATCCCGACCGGTGTTTTTTCTTTTCCCTTCTCTCCCTGCAGATCTGCTTCAAGTACTTCTGCCGCTCCTGCTGGCACTGGCAGCACTCCATGGAGGTCCTGCGTCACCACCGCCCGCTGATGCGCAACCAGAAGAACGGGGACTCCAGCTAAAGCGGCGGTCGGGGCGCGGGCGCGGGGGAAAGTCCTTTTGTTAACCTGCCAAGTGGAGAGCGCACGAGCGTGCCTGCTGGTGCCAGACCCAGGCTGGGAACGCGCTTCCTGAGGACTAATGGGAAAATCTTACATTCACGTTTGCACTTGCTGGTCTTTTTGTTTCTGCACTAATGCACAGTGAATTTTGTCGGGTTTTGTTTGGGGTTTTTGAGGGGGGGAAGTGCCCCCTCGAGCGATTCTGCAGTTCCCAGACTTTGGTTCCTAGTTTGACGAGAAGCAAAAAGGGCCGCGTGTTGAGAAGGTGTTTATGCAGATGCCTTCACCTAGGTTTTTTATTTATTAAAGGCGCTTTTTTACATTCCTTGCAATACTGATGGTAATAATGCAGGTCTCATTGGCTCCATTTTTTTGCAGTTGCCATACAGTGCCTTTCCATTCATTTAACCCCCATCTGAACGGCATAAACTGAATGTTCAGCTGGCGTTTTTTACTGTAACAACAAGGAGACTTTGCTCTTCATTTAAACCAAATCATATTTCATATTTTACGCTCAAGGGTTTTTACCAGTTCCTTTTTACACTCTTAAACAGTTTTTAAGTCGTTTGAAATGAGAGATTTTTCTTTCCTGGCAGCTTTTAACATTATTGCAATTTGTGTCTGGGGGCTGCTGGTGGGAAGTTGTAAATCGAGGCGTTTGCAACAGAAACAGGACAGGATTTCTGGATTTGAAACTGGACCGGATAAATGATCTCTGAGCTGCTGTATATAGTTTTAAATAGTTTGTTGCACTTAAGGGGGGTTGATAGAGGTTTTTAATCACAAAGTCACAGGACTTACTTTCCTTTTGTAACTAGCTAAAAAAGGGCTGCGTTTCGGCGGACGGATGGAGGTTCATAGGAGCCCTTTCTCTTAGAGGGGACAAGTACTCTTCCTTTTGTTTCAGAAATGTATGAAGTAATGGTGCAGTCGACTGAAATGCTGCTGGGATTTGAGATTTTTTTTTTTTTACTTTCCCCTCTATCAGAAGCTGTGTGCCAAAGAACCAGTGTCATAATTTCTCCCTCTCCTGCTGAGCTGATGTTGCATTGTTGCATATCCCAGCTGCTCTTTGTGGGGTTTTCGTGAAGCTGTGTGTGAAGTCTCTACCTCATTGTAGTATATGCAGGCAAGACTGCACTCTCCTACAGACGCGTGGAGTAAGCTGTGGTGTAGTTTTTGGCACATAATAAACACGTTGCAGCAAAAAGCCCTCTCTGCTCCTTTCTTTCTACCCATGTGCAGCGGGGGGATGGGCTCCCTGCTCCCGGGTTAAAGCTGTTGTCATCATCTCTCCATGGAGATGAGGTGACTCTGGTACTGGGGGTGATGCAGATACTGGGAGCTGCACTTTCAGGCCCTGGGCCTGAGGCTCCAGCTGGAGCTTGCTTCTCACTGAGGCTGATGTGCTCGGAGTGTTGAAGGGCTGAGACCACCCCATGTGCTGCACAGGGCCTCCCAGGTTTCTGATATGAGGGTGGCCAGTGCCTCTTGGGTGCGGGGGCCATGGTTCCCTACACGTGTCTCTCCTTCCCTTCCAATGCTTGGCTTTAGGGGGCTGGTTCCCCTTTGCCCCGTAGCGGTGGCAGGCAGTGGCTAAGGGGGCCCATTAGCACGGCTGCGCCTCTGGGCTGCACGGCGGGCTGGGAGCCCTGTGGCTGCTGGGGCTAGGGCCGCGTCACAGCCCGTAGCGCCCAAACGGGGCCTCAGGTCCGCTGGGCTCAGCGACGAGGCCGCACCGGCCTCCTTCCCTCAGCACGGCCTCTGGGGGCCGCTGTCGGTGCTCGACGGGGACACGGCGTGGCACCGGGCCGCGCCCCCTCCGGGCCTCTACGGCAGCGCGGTCCTCCTGCCCGCCAGGGGGCGCTGTGCGCTGCGCGCGCTTCCGGCGTCCACTCCCGCTTCCGGCCCTCCTTTGCGTTCTCTTTCTCTGCGGCAGCCGCAGCCATGGTGAGTCCCGGCCGCCGCCATCCGCCGCCATCGGCCGCCGGGGCGGCTCATCGCGGGGCTCCGGAGCGCGGGGCGGGTTGCTGGGGGGCGGCGGGCCGTAGGGGCGGAGGGCGGCTGGCGAGCGGCGGTGCGTGTCCCCGCAGGGACGCGTGAGGACGAAGACGGTGAAGAAGGCGGCGCGGGTGATCATCGAGAAGTACTACACCCGGCTGGGCAACGACTTCCACACCAACAAGCGCGTGTGCGAGGAGATCGCCATCATCCCCAGCAAGAAGCTGCGGAACAAGATCGCGGGGTGAGGCCCGGGGGGAGCGGAACCCTGCCGTGCTCGGGCCCCGGGGCTCAGCCCGGCTGTGTGTGTGTGTGTGTGTGTCTGTCTGCCACCCCGTCACGCCGCCTGTCCCACAGGTATGTCACCCACCTGATGAAGCGCATCCAGCGGGGCCCCGTCCGGGGCATCTCCATCAAGCTGCAGGAGGAGGAGAGGGAGCGCCGGGACAACTACGTGCCCGAGGTGCGGCCGGCCGCGCTCACGTGGGCTGGGGGCTCGGGCTGCGGCACGGGGCTGTTTCCTGAGAGCGGTGCTTTCAGAGCGCCGGGCTGCGGAGCGCGTCCCCGAGGGGGCCGGGCACGGGGCAGAGGTGGGACGCACCGTAGCCCAGCACGGCGTTCCCTCGGGCGCTGCCGCCTTCGTTTAGTCGGCACCGTTGCCGGCCGGAGGGCGCTGCCCTTCCTTTCCCTAGCTGAAAATAAGCTCGATATCAGCTCGACGCACAGCACGGCCCGAAGCCGCCGTGCAGCAGATGTCGCTGAAGGGCAGCCGTGGTTCGATGCCACAGCGCTGAGCCGGTCCCACAGCACAGCCACCCCGCGGGGACCCCCCGAACCTGCATTCGAAAGTGATCGTGGTCTGCTGCGTGGCCCGGTCATTGATAGTGCAGGGAGAGGAACCCGAAAGCATTTCCCGTGTTTGGTTGGGTCCATGCCATCCCTCCCAAACCCTGTAGCATTCGGACATCGGCTTTGTGCTCCTCTTCCTGATCTCCTGTAATGCTGTTAGCTGCTGTTTGATTCAGTCTGCTTATTTGTGCTCTTCAGTTCTCCTAGTTTGCTGGTGCTTGGTTTGCTTATTTTAAATCTGGGTAAGCAGATAGTTTTGTAGGCCGGGATGGGATGATGAGCCCGGCGCCTGGGCTTGGTGTGATTCCTCACTCATGGTGTCTGGAAGGGAGCAGCACTGTGCAGCTGCTCTCAGAGCCCTTGGGTGTCAGCTGTGTCTGCTGGAGGAGGCTGCGCTCAGCTGCAGATGGGACAGGTCGCAGCTGCTGAGCGGGGAAGGAGCTGCAGGATGAACCTACTTGTTTCTTACTGGTGTGGTGTAGCCTATAATGGAAGGGAGCGCACAGAGGTTGAGGTCTGGAGAGGGGAATTGCGAGGTGTTTTGGTCGGGTTCCTCCTGGCTCACTCCGGTGGGGGCAGTGGATCGGCTCTCCCCAAGGCACAGCCAAACCTTGGCTGTCTCTCTTCTGTCCCCAGGTCTCTGCTCTCGATCAGGAGATCATTGAAGTGGACCCGGACACCAAGGAAATGCTGAAGCTCCTGGTGAGTAGCTCAGGCCACCCTGCGGCCTGGTGCAACCCAGCCCAGGTGGTGACCGTGTCCCCAGCAGTGCTCCTGGGGCTACTGACAGCCTGGAACGTTCTGTCCCCATGGCCGGGAGGGCTCCGCCTCCTCCCTCGGTGGGTCTGGGCACACTGCTGACCCCAGGCTCTTTTTCAGGACTTCGGCAGCCTGTCCAACCTGCAGGTCACGCAGCCCACCGTGGGGATGAACTTCAAAACGCCACGAGGCGCGCTCTGAGCCGCTCGCTGTGTTGCTTTTACAATAAATGTGGGAAACCAACTCGGCCTGCTCGTTCTTTCAAAGCCCACGGCGGGGCGGAGCGGAGGGCCTCCCTGGGTGCTGCATCCGAGGTGTCGCAGTGCGAGGAGGACTTGACATCTTCCTGGTTGTTTGGGGCGAGAGTGCAGAGCTGTTGCTTGGCAGTGTCCTTACTGATGTCGGGGTGGTGGCGCGCGGTTGGGAGAAGGCAAACATGGAGCGACCTCAGAGCCTCCCAGCTTTGAGTGGGAAGCTCGCAAGGTCGTGCTGTGCCAGAATAAAAGCTGTCTTTCTGACCGTATCTCTCAGTGCTTAGATGGAAGAGGAAAAGTCTCTGTGTTTATTTCTACAAGGGGAGCGAACTGAGCTGAGCAATGTGCTGTCTGGGAGGAAGCCCATATGGAGACAGGCCCTGGAGCCCCCAGGAGGACCCCCAGGAGATGGGTCTCCTACCACTGTCCCCAGAGAGGGCTGCATTCACCCCACAACTCCCATCCTGCTGTGCGGAGAACCTACCGGTCCCTGCCATTCTCCCGGGCTCCTCCAGCAGATAAGGGTTCTCAGCCTGTTTCCTTCCCTACCTTTTCCACGATCAGTGTCTGCGCTTGTGTTCAAGCCTGTGGTTTACATGGGTTTTGGTAAGGAGAACGTCGGGGCCTGTGCTCAGAACCCACTCAACCCACAGGGCTCCCTGGAGGCCCTGAGCCAAAGGCTCTCCTGACTGTTGGCAGCCATGGCACACACGTTCAGTACCCCATACAAATGAAAAGGCAGAGGGTTTGCTCTTTGGGGGAAACACCTGTATTTATGTTTGCTGTGGAATTTGCTTTCAGTAGTTAGGAAAAAAAACAGTTTACAACAAACGCAGGCAGGTATGTAAAGTGTACTGAGCTGTCACGAGGACAAACCAAACACAGATAGCTTAGAGCTCCCTCAAGCACCAAAGGGATTTAACTTGGAATTTGCAGCTCAGTGTCTCCAATCTCTTCACTGTGTAACTAAAATGCAGTGATAACAAAGGCTGTGCACTGGAATAACGATCAATCTGCAGGAAGGCAGGGAAGGCAGCATTACTTGCAGCAACCACAGGATGCTGGTAAACAGAACTGGACTGCCATAGCTGGCTGATGGTGTCGGGCAGCGCTCAGTTAAGGTTTTGCTGAGAACAGCTGCCTGTTACTTAGAATTTTTTAGGCTGATTTCATGATGAACCCAGTAGGCGGTGCAGCCTGCGGTGCCAGGAGTGAAGTCGTGTAGCTCTCCAGTGTATTTCCTCATGTCACGGGCAGAGGTGTAGCCTAGGGATGGAAAGTGCTGCTCTAAAGCCCAGCGTTACTCTGTTGGGTGAAATGGGAGCTGTGGAACATGGGAGGCGTTCAGGTGCAATCCCAGCTGTGCCCTCGGGAGTTTGTAACAACTGGGAATAAGCATCAGCATCGAGGGGCAACCTGGGACCGTGGACCTCCATACCTGCATGATTCTGCACCAGGGATTGCACACTGCAAATGGGAACAATGAGCAACAAGCAGTGCAGAGCCATCAGGAACAGCGGCGTCAATAAAACCCAAGACAATCTTCTGGGTGAATTTTAGCAGTCTTGGGGTCTGGCAGGTAGGTAGAGAGCAATCTCTGGGGGTAGCCCTGACTCCACCAGCATCTGCAGCCATTTCCAGGCTGTCTTCCACTTACAGGCCTACCCAAGCTGCACATTACCTGTCACCATGTTATTTATCGGGTATTCCTGGAGTGTATGGCATGGAACTTCCTCCTGGCTGGATGCTCTTGAGCCCCTTTTTCCTTCACTGCTGTGTTGGGAGGAATCGTGTGTTACTCTGTGCTGGGTATTTTATAACAGATGAGGACACCTCCAAGTCCCCTTGCCATGGCCAGAAATACCTTTCAGGTAGGTTCTGTGCATCCTCCCCAGCTCCTTGCTCGCACTCCTTGCTCACTGTCTCTGGTTCATCAGACAGATTTTCTTCAGGCTGTGATGATCAGTGCAGAATTCATTTAAAATGGTGCACCATTCACAAGAAAGTTTTCAATCCAGCAATACTTTTTGCTTCAAACGTACTGAGGAATGACCTCAAGAGGACAGCGCGCAGTGGGAGCTGAATGATTTGCAAAGAAAGCCAGAGTCCCAGACTCTTAGAACTGGAAGGCCCCCCCCCAACCCCACCCTACCATTGAGCTGCCTGCCCCCAGCCCAGGCTGCCCACCCCTGGCCTTGTCACCTCTGGGGATGGGGCACCCACAGCTGTGGGCAGCAGCACTAGAGGCTGACACAAGTCGTTACAGCACCTACATGGGGTGTTTCTCACGCACCTGTTCCACAAGGGAATAATCCATCTGCTCCCAAGGAAATCTACCTATTTTTCTCCTGATTTCTGCCGTGAGCAAAAAAAATAAATGAGTGTAACAGCAGCCCAGTGAGCAGCGCTGCGCCCTGAGCAGTGGGGCACCGATTCCTCAGCCCTGGGGAGGAGGCATCACTCCCAGCAGAAGGAAATCAGCCCTCGGAGCAAGGGGATGGGGCACAGCCCCTCACCTTCCTGCAGGCAGGCGGGGGGCAGCACGAAGTGCCCCAGAGCCACGGGCTGCTGCTTGGCAGTGCTGCTGTTCAGCCACGCTGACAGGTAACAGGGATGGAACACTGTAGCTCTGCCATCCAGGTACTGCAGGCTCTCGTGTATGCTGGGAAAGAAAAGGGGTGGTTTCTAAAGGTAAGCACAACTACGAGCCAAACGGAAGAAGCTTTGGCTCTGATCGGTCTGGAATCAGCACTTGTGTTCTGTTACCTCCTGCTTGTTTCAGTTTTGTTTTGTTTTGTTTTGTTTTGTTTTGCCTGTGGTTACTTCCCTGTTTGCCCCATAGCCCTGGGGTGGTGCCAACTTTATTTCAGACCCCAAGCTTTCGTAGCAGGTCAGCCCCATTTACCCAGCTACAGGTATCAGCTGGTTCTGCACGCAGGTCTTGCACAGCACTAAGTCCAGGCGGGTTTTATTTCCGCTGGTGTGAATGCAGATGGATCAGCTCCCGCCTTGCTCTGCTCTCCCACAAAAAGCCATGTCAGCAGCCTCACAGCGCCATCCCCACCACTGGGGAACATCAGCGTTAATGCAAGCATTCCCATCAGCTGCACTTCACTGCCTTTTGCCCCCCACAAACCAGCAGAGCCCCTCCAGCACGCCATCAGCGAGCAACGGAGATGGCCAACCCCAAACAGGACCTTCCCAGGTGTGTGCTGGGCACCGGGGGTGGCGCTAAGGGGGGACAGAGCCAACCTGCGGGTATCGGGGTGAGCAGCATCGCTACTAAAGAGATAGTCGGCGTCCTGCCAGCGGGTGAGCAGCCCTCCGCCAGCCACTGTGGGAGGAAGAGCAGGGTGAGGACGAAGGTGAACCCCCGTGCGTCACACAGCCCGCTGCGTCCCCGCACGGCGCAGACACCAGCAGTGTCAGGTGAGCCCAACACCACGCGCCCTCGTGCCGCGCTGTCAGCGCAGCCCAGCTCACTCCCTCACGCACCCCAACGCATTTCCTACACTCTGCTGCGAATCCCCCGCCCCGTTCTGTGCTCCCCCCGCCCCAGCGTGTCCCCACACACCCCTAGACAGCCCCACAACCACCCCACGGCTCACCCCACAGCTGCCGGGGGCCGGGCTGGACGCTGTGGGAGAACCAGGCCTGGCAGCCCTTAAACATGGCGGCGGGAAGCTGAGGGGCAGCGGCGGGAAACGCTGAGGGGTGAGGGGGGGGGGGAGTGAGCCAAGGCTGGGAGAGCAGCTTTCCTGCCAGGAATGTTCAGACCAAACCCTGCTTTCAGGTATTTTAATCTGAGGTGAGGAGCTCGTCAGCAAACGATGCGTCCTTGAGTAAAGCGTGGAGCAAAGCAGAAAGGCAGAGGTTTGCACACATCTCATTGCTCAGCATAGGCAGCGCAAATGCAACAGAGCAATCTACAAAACAAGCCGGAACTGCGTCAACCTCGAGCAACACAATCTTCATCCATGAAAGCACTGCGAGAACTCAGCCCAGCCCAGAGCTGAGATCTGCACCCACCACGTCCGGCTGGACCCAGCAGCACGACGTCACCACAGCAGCCCCCCAGGAGCCACAGCAGCGCTCAGGTTGGGTAATGCCTCCCCAGGCAGCTCCCTGTGCCCTGAAAATCATCATTTTGTCTTTTCTGGTTTTATTGGGTAAAATTTGTGTACAATTCAGACCGGTGAAGAGCTCCAGTGGCAGTGCAGATACTGAGAGCTATGTGCTCAGATAAGTCAAGATAGAACGCTGCTCCAAGTCAAAGGTATTTTAACACAAGCTCCAGCAATTTTTTATGGAGAACAGCTGTTAGAGAGCAAGCTTTACTGATTTATTGCTATCAATTCTGTTCCTTTCCTGGGGAACACACAAGTTTCAGAGTTGTGAATTTGCACAGTTATGCACAAGTTTCAAAGGCATGAATTTGCATTATAAATTTTCACAATTCCAATCCCAATCAGCTTGCTTTGCATCTTCCTTCATCCTAAGCAACAGGTCAGGATACCTTCAACAGCATCTCCGTATTTGCAAACCATCTGCTGCATGCCTGAAGGCTGCAAGGCAGCACCCCCCCTTCCCCATTCCCTTCCCCATTCCCTTCCCCTTCCCTCCAATCCTCCCACCCCCCCCCCCCATGCTTTTCCAGGAGCACAGATTTCAGAGCACTGCTGCTAACCCTAGGAGAGCATCCTAAAGGAATTTCATGATGAAGATCCTTGCTCTTTGCCATCCTACCCAGAAGTGTGATGCAAAAAAGGACAGAAGCTCAAGCTCATTTCCACTTGAAATGCAGAATTCTTCAGACCTGCATGGGAGAGAGGAGATTGATATCAATTGCTCTGTGCACTGCTTCAACTGCTTAATTATTTTTTAAGAACCTGTTCTTCCAATGCAACCATTTTTTAGCTTTCGAGACTTTCCAGCCTCTCAGTATTGCAGGTTTTTGTGCTGCTAATTAAGAGTACCCTCTTCCTCCCCTGTTCACCTCACCCCTATTTTCTCCCGTTCCTGAATACCAGCACCCCTCCCAGCCTTTGCAGGAAGAGCTCAAAAGCATTTTGGAAAACAGAGGCAGGTAAAGCACTGTGATCCTTTTGCACCTCAAGAAGTTAAGCCCAAGAGTTCCCTTCCTGCTCCATCTTAAAGTTCACGTGACTCATGACCCATGAGTCAGCCTAAAAACCTTTGTTTCCCGAGCTAGCTGGGAGGGAACTTCCCTGGAAAAGGCTCAGCTCCCACTGTCAATGTTCAACCAGCCTCAAACAGAGATCTCAGCAAAGGAGTTTCAGTTTCAAGCTGTACTGCAGTTCTTTCAGCCATGATGCAGTTTTCTCCATCATGGGTTGGGCTTGCTATTCACACCTAGCTGACTCTGCCATGCCCACCTCAGGCTAACCATCCTGCCTTCCCTGAGGTGCAGGGGATTTCCAAGCAGGGGAACTTCCAGACCCTGTGATGCCATTCTCCTGGCTGGTGGGGAGGAAAAGCACTGAAATGGGCAGTGACAGCTCGTATTGGCGGCCGGCAGACGTGCCAAAGAGCTTTGCTCCAAGTGACTGCTCTCTTCTGGGAGGAAAAGCAGGGCTCCTAGGCTGGGTGTGGGTGAGCACCGGTTGTAATATTAAGCAGAAAGAGCTTCAGAACAGCCCTGCTAGCTGTCAGTGGGAACACAGGGGATCTTGTGATCGTTCGTCCTGTTTGTTGGCTCTGTGGGCTATTTAGGGGGCCTCCCTTTACCCGCAGGACGTCACTCACCGTGCTCATCCCGGGCACAGCTCAGAACTCGGGATCTAAGGAGGGAAAGAAGTGATGTCAGGGCCCAGAACGATGGGGCTCAGGGCCACGGGCGCTCACGGCCACGGGGCCGGCAGCACAGGGAAGAGGAGGAGGCGGCCATACCCCACTTGTAGACCTGCGGCTCTTTCAGGGTCTCGTGCTCCACCTTGCACGTGTAGACGGCGTCGCTGCTGGGCGTGAAGTCGGCGTACACCAGGCGCTGGAAGCTCCAGTCGTCGTTGAAGGACATGTCGGAGTACTGTGCGCCCTCCATGGGCACGCCGTCCTTCATCAGCGTGATGGAGATCTTGGGCGGGTGGAAGCCGGACGCGAAGCAGTTGAGGACGTTCTTGGTGCCCGCGGAGGCGGGGAAGCGGGAGTACACCTGTACCTTGGGCGTCACTGCGGGGACGGAGGGGTGCTGAGCGGGGGGAGCCCCGCACGGGGAGCGACCCCAAAGGAGGGGTCAGCACCCCGCGCCCGCGCTCCCGCCCGGCCCCGGCACTCACGATCGGCCTGCGCCAGCCCGAGCAGGGCCACCAGGGCCACCAGCATCACCGCCGCCTTCCCCATAGCTCCGCCGTCCGCTCCGCTCCGCGCTTCTCGGGGAATGACCCCGCCCGCCGCTCGCTTGCGCCCGCCTGGACTGCAGCCAATGGCGGCGCGGTAAGCCCGCCGCGTCACCTGTCTCCGGGCAGAGCGGCGGTGTAGAGGTTACGGAGACAGAGCGGCGCGGCCCACGGCGCCTGCGCGCGACAGGAGCACCGCTTTCGCTTTCGCTTTCTCTTTCCCGAAAGTGGGTGGGCGTGGCCTAACGTGGGGGGGGGGCTGCGCAGGCGCACTGAGTCGACGGGCGGTGCCGTGCGGCACGGCGCGTGCGCGACAGCGGCAGCGCGGGAAACCGTAAAAGGCGGCGGGCGGGGCAGCGCGGCCCCGTAGAGGGCGGCGGGGGTGGCGGGGCGCGTCATGGCGGAGGGCGGCGAGCCCGTGGTGAGTGCCCGCCCTGCCCTGACGCGGGGCTGTGCTGTCGCTGCTTTCGCTCTGAAGCCTTACCGGTGTCCCCGCTGCCGCCCCTTTCTTCCCCCAGATCCTCGAGGACTACCTGCTGGTGGAAGATGCTCCTCTGCTGGAGGAGATGGCCGAGGAAGACGAGGAGCTCGACCTGTACAATGAGATGACGTTTGGGCTGGGTAAGGTCAGAAGGAGCCCGGATTTGGGCTGACCACCAGCACCTGTAGGACTGCGGATGGAGGGGGCGGTGAGGAAGGTGGTCCTGAGCAGGGGCTGAGCTGGGGGGTGGGGGTGTCTGTTTGCCCTCAGTGTGCTCTGCTTCTTCCTTCAAGACCGTGACTCCATTGAGGAGGATGCCACCAAAACCCCGGTGCCTCCAGAGAGGAACCCTGAGCTTTTGGAGCCTGAGGAACAGCCCCGAGTGGTGGAGGGGCAGCCACCGACAGAGGAGCAGGGAGAGCTCCAGGGCCAAGGTGGGACAGAGGCAGAGGCTGAGCAGGTGGGCTCTGAGGAGGAGGAGGAAGAAGAGGAGGAAGAGCAGGGAGTTGAGGAACAGGAGGATGAGGAGGAACCCAACGACTTGGGAGACCCAGCAGTGATGAGAGCTGTACAGAGCAAGCCCACGCTGGAGGTGATGCCTGGTTGGGGTGGGATGGGACCCTGAGTGAAATCCCTGGGGTCCCCCAGTGCCCAAGCAGAGTCGGTGGTGTGGTCCTGCTGCTCCTTTCTCCATCTTTGTACTGTGGACTGTGTCCCATGGGGGGGCCAAGGGGTGGTTCTGGGAGGTAACAAGGTCGTGCCCGTGGTGCTTTTGCAAAGTGTACATCACTAACTGTTCTCTTTGCTCTCAGAGCCAGGACTCAGCAGTGCTGGACAGCAGGATTGGCTCTGACTGGGCAGAATTTGGCCAAGAGGACATGGTAAAAACATCCCCTCCACACTAGTAACAGAGACTGAGTGTCTCTTGCCTCTCCTCTCCCCGTGCTGATCTCTGTTTGTCTTCCAGCTGGCAATGGACCCCATGGCATGGGGCTCTTGCCCCAGCAGCATTCCAGCCCACCACATGCTAGAGGTGCGTCCTTGGGGCTCTCCCTGTGTGTCCCTTATGGTGCTGAGCAGTCAAGGCTCCATTTCCTTCATCTGCCACCTCCTCCCACAGGACAAAGCCATCCTGCAGGTCCTGGAGAGGCCGCCTACTGCCACCAACATGGCCCTCGACTTCCTCGGCTCCCCTGTGCAGAGGGGGTATGTGGGTTCCCCACGGCACAAGCGCCCTGACTTCAGAGGGATGTCCCCCAAGTCTTTCCCCCAGCACTTCCTCCAGCAGGTACAGGTTTTCAGAGACTCTTGTTTTGCTCCTCTGCCTTCCCTGCTCCGGAAGCTGTCCCAAGCTCTGAGATGCTTCTATGTTGTATGGGACCTATTATAAGGCTGGGATTTGTGGCTGTGCCTTGCTGATCCCAATAACATCTTACTCCTGCAGCAACCTCTGATACCATGCTCCACATCCTCCCCTCGGCCCTTCCCACCACCCCGCAGAGCCTCTTCTTTCTTTACTTCCAACCAGGTAATGGAGCGAGCTGTTGGCCACTAATCCCACAGATGGTGCTATGTCCTGGAAGATGCTTCTGAGCACGTCTCAGCATCTCTCCCAAGTGGCAGCCTTTGCAGCTCAGTCTCATCCTGGGCACTCTTCTTTATCTTTAATGGGGATGGTTATAGCTGTTGCTTCTTAAATAGATTTATCCTGATGTTCCTGCACTGGGCCTGTTTGGTAGCACGTTGGAGCACCTTTGATGGACCTGGGCTGTACCAGGCAGCAGCATAACACTAGAGTACCCTTGCGTTGCCCAGATATGGGAGCACAGAATGTCGCTTTGGTAGAGCCCAGCCATCCCTCCAGGTGCCCCTGGACAGCAGGGTGCCCTGCCACCTGACCACTTTTCCCTTCCTTTCCAGTCTGCAGGGTACATCTCTCCAGGCCCTTTCAGTCCCCTGTCGCCCAACATTGGCACTCCACCACGGTCTCTCGCCATGCACTTTGGCCCAATGTCTCATTCTCTGGATCCTTCTGTCTTCTTCAGCCCCTCCACCAGTGGCCAGCTCAACCTCAGGTAGCAGGGATGGCGAGTGGGGTGCCTGCCTGGGGGCAGGGGAGGGGTGCTGCAGCCCTCATAGAAGCTGGGTAGCTCTGTGGGGGTGGCTCAAGTGTGGGAGCTGAGCTGTGGTTGTGATGGTGAGGAGGCATCTGGTCTGGGTGAGGTCAGGATGGACAGCATGCCATGGGCACGTCACCATCTGTTGTCTGAAGGTCAAGGGAGCTGGTGGCCCTTGTGGCACTCAGCCAAGACCTGAGATGCGTCCTGAACACATCAGAGATGCGTTGGAGCTGCTGTATTGTCTTCAGTCCTCATTGTCCTTTTGCAGCGTGCCCAGCCACCTCACTCAGCTGCACCCGCAGCACCAGCGCATCCTGACCCAGCGGCAGCAGCAGGGTGGGACATTGCAGAGGTATGGGGTTTACAGGGGGGGCTTAGGGGTGCCTCAGGGGGGATCTGAGTGCTCACAGTAGGCTGTGGTCTTCCCTGTGACAGCGTCTCCCCCAAGAAGCTGTGGTCCCCTAAAGCTGACCCTTGTGCTGGGCTGATGACCTGCAAGGAGAAGGACTGGGTTGTCAAGGTGGAAATGATCCAGCTGCAGAGTGAGAACTTGGATGATGATTATTACTACCAGGTGAGCTGCTTCTGTGGGGTCTTGTGGTCACCCAGCTCCTTGGAGCTACGCATTCACACCTGAGGAAGCTGGAAGATGCGGGGGCTTGAGGTGCTGAGTCCTGTGCAGGAATGGGACAGGATGGTCCTATGTTGTCCTTCTGGCTGCCTGCAGACCTACTACCACCGGCTGGAGCGCAAGCAGGCAGAGGAAGAGCTGCTGGGTGGGCGCAACAAGCAGGAGCCCCCCAAACTGGTGACACCATTCATTCAGAAAGTGGAGACCTACAATTCTGGTGAGGGGCTGTTGCTGAGGTTGGGATATGGGGCATGGGACACACTCTTACCACGCTCCCGCTCTCTTCCAGTGGTGCGCATTGCCGGCTCGCTGGGCCAGGTCGCTGTATCCACCTGCTACAGCCCCCGGCGGGCCATCGATGCTGTGCACCATGCCCTGGTGGAGGAGGTAGGTGAAGGGGGACACCGGGCTCCAAGCTTCCTTCCATGTCTTGGAGAAGTTTAGGAGGAGTGATAGGAGCTACCCTGGCTCCGGGTGTCGGATGGGGCATGCAGTAGGGCTGTGTCTCACTTTTATGGCATCAGCAGGGTGGGATGGGACAGCCAGTGGTGGCTGTGGCCGCTGTGCAGGGTTGGTCTTTGTCCTGAAGCCACTTTGATCCCCAGGGAGCAGCTGGCCCAGAGCTGTGCTGGCAGCGGTGTCTGGTGCTGGCTGTAACTGTGCCTTCCTTTCTCCCCTCCTGAAGGCTGCGGGGAGCCACCGGCTTCGAGCGCTGCACAGGATTGAGAGGGTGAGTGGCGGTGGCCCCGCTTTGCGGCACGCTGGGATGGAGCAGAGGCTTGTCCAAGGAGCTCTGTGGGGGAGGTCTGCCTGGATGTGGGGGGTTTTGAACATTCAGCAAATGCTCCAAGCTGGCCACTTATCTCTTGGCATTTCTTTAGCTGTTCCTGCAACTGCTGGAGGTGGAAGAGATGCAGCGGAAGATGTCCTTAGCCACAGAAGAGCAGGAGCACAAGACCCAGGAAGTGGGACGGATCTATCAGGCCCTGAATATCAGAGCCTGCAGCAGTGAGGAGTAAGATGTGCTGTGGTGAAGTACGGGTGGGCAGCATGCCCTGATCCTAGCTGTGTTCCCTGTAATCATGTGTAATGGGATTCTGTCCTCTGCACGTCACCCTTATTTGTGGTGCCCCTATCTACTGCCTTGTCCTCCACTGAAGATGCATGGGAGTGAGGGAGATGTCAGTTCATCTCCTAGATGGGCAGAAGGGCTTCGGGTCTCTCAGGGTTTGTGCCAATGGGAGCCTTCATCCCCAGGGAGGCAGAGGATGAGTTCCTGCAGGTCCTGTGTGTTCGGAAAGGCAAGAAACTCACAGCACGGCTGCTGCCTCACCTGGCCCCAGAGCAAGCAGAGAAGATCCTGCTGACCATCACCCACCACCTGCCCTTCCTCATGAAGAAGGATGTGCCAGATGAGGCGAGCACCTCCAGCCTGGGGCAGGGGGTGCTGGGTTGCTTTCTTCTATCCCTTTTCCTGGAACTGGCTATCTTGCTGGGTCTCAGCTAGGCTGGGTGGATGGTTGGGTTGACGTGGGAAAATGGCCTATGAAGGGTAGGCTCAGAGCTTTGCTTCCCCTGTTGAAGTGGAGAAGGAGGAAGGTTGCCAGGAGGTGTTAGGGTAGTTCTGGTGGATGTGTATCCCTAGGATGTGTGGGGGTCCCTGAATGTGGGATGCAGGCATTTGGGCTAGGACTCAAGGATGGGGATGGGACTGCTGTGGGTCAAGCAGTCTCAGATCCCTGCTCTCCCCTCTGCCCTGCCCAGTCTCTCCCCCTGCTCTACAGCCCTTTGAATGAGGTGGTGGGCAGGATGACCTTCA